TTATACCCGCATCCCAAATGGCCCCCTCCCATAGCCCCCCACCCCCTCTAGTCAGCCTATCTAGACTTCCTTGTTTTAGGAATATCAGCTCTTCCTCATCTAGCAGCAATCAGTTGCCAGCATTCCTTTAGATAAGATTGGGGTCTGCTGTTCATTTTCCCAGTTCTATGCTGGGTTACTGTCTGGGAGTCTCTTGGGTCACCCTGGCCAACAACTCAAAGGAAGGTGAGATGTCATTATTTTTTAATGAATCAAGCTGTTCTAGCAGTTATGTTGGTATTGTTTGATCTTAGTCAAGTTATATTTTAAGTGAAAATTTTGTATTAAGTGTTTTTAACTGGTCTGTGTCTGTGTTAACAGTCAAAACAGAGCAGTATGGTATGATGGCCATGAGCCATTTCAGCCATGGGCACTCAGTAACTTTTAAATTAGGTACTGGTTTGTGGGTTTTTTTTTTCCCCCTAACACAAAATCTGGTTCCTCAAACAGCTGGTTCTTTGCATTCCTTAAGTGCAAAGTTACTAACATTCAAAGAGATATTACTCTCTAGTTGAGCAGACAGGAAATTCCTGATTATGCAGTGTATGATATTGCCGTTGCAGTCCTTACTGACTGATAACTGTAGGTAGATCCAGGCCTCCTTTGAAAACAGATCTTCACCTGAGTTCAGCTGACTAAGGAAATGCTTGCTACTGGAGAAAAGAACATGATCCAGGAAAATATGGGTTGTTTTTGAAGATGATTTATCAAACTCTTTATACTTAATGGATGTATAAATTTCCAATTGAATCAGTATCTTTTTGACCCTAGACACTTCCTTTTTCCAATTAAAAAATACAACAGTAAGAGAGAGACAGTTCCCTTTTCCAATTAAAAATACAACAGTAAGCAGTACATCTTCAGGAGTTTTTAGAAAATAAAAATTTAAGAAAATATGATGGACTTGTTTTGCTTTTAGAGGCAAGTCTAAAGAAAGATGCATAGAAGAGGGGGCAGTGTAACACTTTTTCTCAGGGAACAATGAGGAGATAAACTTACATAACTAGCAGAATGCTCCAGCTGACTGTGCGTCTTTCTTAGCACACACAAGTGTGTGTGGATTGGAGTCTGGATTGAAGTCTGGATTGGAGGAGCTCACACAGTACCACAGAAGCCTTTATTCTTTCTAATGATGTGACATCTGGCTGGATACAAATATTCCATCAAAAACCAGTTTCCTTTCCATGCATAAAAATACAAGGTGATTATTACTTCTGATTGTTTCAGAGAAACAGAATAAAGAATGTAAAATAGAATTAGCTTCCAGACACACAGTCCAAACAAAGGAATTTCATAGCTTCTAATTTACCTGATGCTGAACATTAATGAGTTTTTAAAGACAATTGTGGCACCAAAAACTATGAGACAATTGGAAAGGACTTGGTAAATTTGTGCTGAAATATAAATCTCAGGTTAACTCTGGATTCTAAGTATCAGGTTTTGTTTGTTTCTTTCTTTCTCAACAGACATTTACTGACCACTTACTGTTTGCTGGGCACCGGGCTGGGAACTGATAGAAAATAAATTTTATAGAGCTTAGAAAGTTTTCAGAAAATAATACTTCACCAAAGAGACCATATATGATTCACTCTTTTGTTGTTGTTGTTGTTGTTGTTGTATAGGCTTTTATTTCCCTTACATGATTTTTAGTGTTGTCAATTTGACAAACCTGGAATTGCCTGAGAGATGGACCTCTGCAAGAGCCTGTGGGGGATTATCTTGAGTATGCTAAATGAGGTGGGAAGATCCATCTTAACAGTGGGTGGGACCATTCCCTAGGCAGTGGATCCGGTCGGTGGAGGGTAGAGAAGGGAGTTGAGCATGAGCATGCTTCCATTGCTTCCTTAACTGTGGATATACTGTGACCAGCTCCTGCCACTGTGATTGCTCTACCATAATGGGCTATAATCTGGAACTCTGAGCCAAAATACATTTTCTCCTTTAAGTTGTTTTGTCAGGATATTTTACCACAGCAACAGAGAAAGAAACTGAGATGTCCCAGTTTGCCTTGCATGGTTTCCCTTTGTCTCTGTGGTCCTAGCCTGTTCAGCTAAAACCATCCCGATCATATCATACATCTTCTACTAATTCTGTCTTTAGCCACCTCGTTCTTACATTGTGGTTCTTGTTTAACATTTGTAAAAGCTTTCAAGTTAATAAATACCCTTTTATATTTATTTTTCCTTAACAAATTCAACAGGTTGTATTATTTATGAATTGAAATAGTATACTCCTGCATTCTTCTTGTTAAAAAAAAAAAAGAAAAGCAGGAATATATTTTAGTTTGAGAGGAGTGATTAAGCTATTTCCCTCTAGGGACTATGTATGATGACAGAGCTGTTTGAAACCAGCTGGGGGAGTGCTAGCCAACTCGTAGTGCTGTGGTTTTTCTCAGGGAGAATATTATATACCTCTACTGTACTTGAATTTGAGAGATGGAACATAATATATACAACATATGCATAGCTCACATTTAGATATAAATGATTGGCATGAATTCCAGAGTGTTAAAACTTTATTTAGTTTTCTCCTTGCTTTAAACTTTATGATACCATTCTCTGAGATTTTGTCTTCTTTTATGTAGAAATTTTTAGTTTATGTTTCTTATCTTTAAGTATAATTGTCAGCAAGCATGTTGCCTAATAACTGAGATATGTTATTAGTATTATAGTTTTCTATAACTTCTCCCCATGAATCATAGTGTATTCCACAAAAGTTTTCGATAATCAGAGGGCGAGGGAAGCATTAGCTCTGTCTTATGCATGTGCATGAAGCTTGTGCTTGGATCTCCTTTCCCTAACCTGAAATAGGGCTTGGGTATTTACCAACTACCTGTCATTCCCTAATTTACATGTAAGTTCTAATTTACATGGAAATAGTTCAGTATTCTTTTAGTCTGTAAACATGAAAAAATACCTGCATTTGTCCTCAAGTAGAAGTCCAGCAATATGTTTCTGAGATCTTGTGTGATGCTCATGTCAGGGAGATCAGTTTGAGGTGTGGTATTTAAAGATCTGATTGATTTAATGGTTCCTCAGCGTCACATTTGGAGGAGCTAGGTTTAGGCTCCCCATGATCCCACAGAAGGTATTTGAGCTATTTTTTCTTAGTCTCAACCACATGGAAATAGGGTTGTATTTAAGAGATCAATGAAAATATCTTCGTTGGACAGGGACCCTGTTCTAAAAGGTTAGATTCTTGCTGAAGCTGCCATATATAGGTACCTCAACTCTGAAAGTTGAGGTTTATCCACATCTGGATGAATTTAATTTAGAAATGATCCCAAAGGATTTTCACATGGAGATCAGAGAACTCAGTCACCAGGTATATACATTTGCTTTCAATATTTCATTACCAAGTCACAAGAGATTTTCCTTCAAGTTTCTGGTGGGGCTATTTTAAGTGACTGTATAGCCTTAAAGAGGTGTCGCTTCCCACTGGGGAGGGCTCTGGATTTGGAGTGAGATCACTGCACTGTGGTCTTGCCTGTGCGGGTCTAACAGGGAGAGCATACTAAGTGGCTTAGGCTCTTTGAGCCTGGTGTTTGCTTTCTGAAAATCATGGGAATGATGCTTCTTTCCTGTGTAGTTCTTGTGAGAAAATTAGAAGATTCCCAGGCCCTGATGTATGTTACATTCTTAATAATTTTTGGTATTGGCATTCTCCTTTCTAAATTAAGTATTTATCCTTTCTCTTTGTTAGAAATATCTATACTACTTCCCGAGCATAGTAAAATAGTTTTATCCAGCTATAATTTAGCCCTTTTTATTATAAGTAAATAATTCCACAGTAAACTTCTTTCTTTATAATGTATAAGTCTTGGAAAAGTCCAGGGATGTTAACAGGTTAGGTTTATTTAAAATATTTTATTTGTTATTTTATTTCTTTATGCGTATGAGTGTATTGCCTGCATGTTCGTAAGTGCACCCGTGGTCGTGCAGTGCCCACGGAGGTCAGATGAGGGTGTTGGAGTCAGATCCCCTAGAACTGGAGTTGCAGACAGTTGTTAACCGCCATGTGAATGCTGGGATCCAAACTTGGGTTCTCTGCATGGGTGGCTAGTGTTCTTAACCACTGAGCTTCTTTCTGTGGTTATCAACTGCAAGCTTCTGACACTAGAACATAAAGTACACATATGGCTTCCTTTAATGATTTATTTCCTGAAGGCCTAGGCATATTAAATTAAGAGTAGTGAACAGGGGGCTGGAGAGATGGCTCAGCAGTCAAGAGCACTGGATGCTCTTCCAGAGGACCCGAGTTTGAATCCCAGAAACCACATGGTGGCTAACAACTATCCATAACCCCAGTTCCAGGTGATCTTATCCCCTCTTCTATACTCCACGGACACTGCACAGTATGGGTACACTTACATGCATATAGGCAATACACTCATACACATAACATAAAAATAATAAATAAAATTTAAAAAGACGGGTGAACAGTTGTTAATTGGTTCTGTTTTGCATGTAGTTGGTTAGACTTGTATTTGCTATTAACTTAAAAATTTTTATTGAGCATAACTGATTATTAGAATTGTAGTAGATACTAAAATTTCCCCATCCCCCAATACATGGCTGTATGTACTTTTTAGATCACTATGAGGAAACCTCATTAATAAGTCATGAGATTTTTAGGTGTGATGAGGATATTCTATGTGTCTGGTGCTTTTAGCTTTACACGTAGAGACTCATGTTTTCAACCCAGCCGAATATTTTTGTACTGGCAATAACTAGAGACTCATCTGAGAGCCTCTTTGCTGAGAGAGGTTAGTTAGACTTGTATTTATGTTTGTGTTACTGTTGGTGACAGTCTTCTAAGAAGAAAAGTTTGATAGTCTGTACCGATAAGAGATTGATGAGAAATAACCTTTAGCACAATTTCAAAGTCTGCGAGTCCTATGTTCAGAAGCAGAAATCAAGTCCCTGCTGTTACGAAGAATTTGTTTTGGCTTTGTTTTCCAGGGCCAGCCAGCAGAGCAGGCTGCTCTCTTTGCTGCACAAGCCCGGCCCTCCCCTCAGCTCCCCCAGTATCCAGGACTGCAGCAAGCACAGGTATCTGTATTTGCTTAAATGCCCTTCATTGATGTTCAATTCTGTGCGTTTGAAGTGTGAGAAAGACCAAGGATATTGTTCATCAACTCCCGATAGGCTCTAGAACTTAGTTACTTCTACTTACAGTTTATAGAATAGTACTTCTTGAACAAGTCTCAGGATTAAGAAATTCTTGAATTAGAAATGTAAATGAATTCTACCTTCTATATTGATGATGATAGATATTGAAACACTTGAGCCAGGCATGGAGACACACCTGTAATACCAGCACCTAGAGGCAGAAGCAGGGGGATCAAGGCCAGCCAAGGCTACATAGTGAGAGACTGTATCCAAACAAAAAATTAACAACCTCTGAGTTATTTGCATTGTAATGCATAATGGCATAAGTTGTGGTAGAAATCGTCATATCCGAAGATAACTTCCATGGGGGATCGTGGTAGAAAAACAAGGTAATGGGCCTCGGATTCAGATCACCGCACAGTTCCTAGTGACTCACACTAACTATATGACATTGTGTGTGTTACTCTGAGGCCTAGCTTCCTTCTCAATAAGATGAAGATGAAGGATGAGAAAATTTAAGACAGGCTATGGAATTAGCATAGTGTCCCATACCCAGTAAATTCTCAGATAATACACTGACCTGATTAAATGGATCCTGATCTATTTTCCTAGTACTTTTGCTATTCTACATGCTTTCACTCCTTCCCTTTCATATTAAGGGGCCTGGTATTTTTGACACAAGACTACTGGACCTGGCAGGTCATTCCTCGTACACAGCTGAAAGGCGAACCAGGATTGGCCTGCATAGGCCCTGAGCCCTTCAGCCTGGGTTCATCCTGCCGTGCTGTTATTACTCTCGTCTTCAGTCAGAGGCCTTAAGTTGCAGTGAAATGTGGTGCTTTGAGGATCCAGAGAACAGTGTCCTGTTCTATGAACTGTATCTAGTGATCCAGCAAGCCCCAGCTTTGTCTTTTATATAAGGTATCATGGTTTAGAGAAATAGTTTCTCTTATTATTAGACACAAAAATTCAGCATTCAGATTATTGTTGACAGAAGACTGAAATGGGCTGCGGTCTAACAGAAACAAGAAAGTTCTCAACAGTCACTGCCTGTACCCTTCCTCCTTGGAATGCGTTTTGTTTTTTGGTAACTGATTGGACAGTCATCAGACCCAAAGAAGTATACTCACACACTGACAAAGTACACTGCTGCTTACACATTGGTTGGGCATGAGTATCTTACCTGGCTAATTCTGGAAACGATTTAATGTTGTTTGGGATTTGTTGAACATTGCTGCCAGCTGTACATGGAAGGTGTGGATGCTTGCCTGAATATTTCTATGTAGAAAGATGCCCTTCTTACTAAAAATGATCAACTTAGCTTAAAAGCCAGTTACACCAAATGAGGGCTCACTTAATTTGAAATAGAAATTTCCGCTGAGTCATTGTGCAACGAGCTCTTTCTCTAAGTTTCTGGCTAGACTTCCTGCCTGCGGAGTAGTGTTCGCTCCATCAGAGCCTTTCAGAGCAGTGAAATGCAGTTTGAACCTCATGGGCTTATTTTTTCCCTGTGTTTCTTGGTGACAGGAACCTGGGTGCTAATTGGAGCACTGACTTCTTCCTTTGTGCTTTCCTGCAGACCATGCCCCAGGGCTATACAATGTATGGAACACAGATGCCTTTGCAGCAGGCAACACAGCAGCAGGCCGGTGGTGTGGTTCTCTCCCCCAGCTACAACTCCAGGGCCTATCCAACTGCACATTCCAGCCCAGCGCTGATGGAAAGACTCAGACAGATCCAGCAGCAGCCGAGTGGCTATGTGCAGCAGCAGGCCTCACCATACCTGCAGCCCATGGCTGGCTCTCAGAGGTGATACTGTAGAAGTCGTTATTGCAGTAGTAAACCCTCCCTTGGCTTTGGGTTTGTTATGCTTCTTCTAGGCATTTTACATTGTAACGGTTTTTATGAGCTTGTTTTATGAGCTTGTATTGTATATTTGCCTGCTGAAGGCTCGTTTCCAGCCACATTGAGATAGAGGTTCCAAATAACGCCTCATCTGTTTCATTCAAGGACCCTGTAGTTTTTGACTCACCCTTTCCATTGTGTGGTATGTAATATTTTCAAAAGATACCCGTGTGTTAGCCCTAGTATTCTTTCTAGTCTCTTGTTTAAATTTTTTTAAAACTATAAGTGTCTAAGATGGAAAGCTATTGATCACTATTAGTAATGCCTTACTACAATTTGCTGATCAAAGCCATAAAATTTATAATTGCAGTACTAATTATGGATGGTGCTCATGAGAGTTTTGTTATTAGTTTCTACCTTTGCACCTCAGGAATGACTCACAACAGACTTCTGTTCTTGACTTCACACACTTCGGTTCTGGACTGTTCATACCCCTTTGGTAGAGGGTCTGACTGTACCACTCATTATTGTAGCTGCTGTCCGTACTTGACTAAATTTAAATTAATTAAAAGCAACTTGGCATTTCGTTCTGTGGATACATTAGTCACATTTCAAGATTTACTTTGCCAACTATGGCCAGCGTGGCTAGCTTTGAGGGCCGATGGTATATGCAGTGACATTGGGGCAGGCATTTCCCAGAGCCCCAGGCTCAAATTGTTGCTCTCCTTTCTCTTAAACTTCTTACTGAGTTTTGTACCAAAAAGCCCTGAATTTATTTTGTGCTAAGACCTGATAATTCTGTAACAACTCCTAGTGGCTAGTGGCCATCTCATTGGATAGTTTCAGTTATCATAGACGATTCTATTGGATGATACCACCCAGAAGAATGAAATTTGCAAAGTTACATACTGTAACATTGCTTAGCTCCTGTGGGTTATCATCAAAGGCTGGGTGCATATCCGCTCTACATAAATTTCTCTTTAGAAGTTAGGAATGTGGATGGTTGTACATTTGGGAAAATAAGTTAATTTGTAAAACATATATTATGTTTGCCATTTTTATAATAAGCAGTAACATAGTATAACTCAAGAACTTGAGCTTCAGAGCTCAGAACGTCTGGATTCAAATCCTATCTGTGCTATTTGTTTTCTGGACAAACCCTAGTTACTTCTCTGTCTCTGCACTCTGGTTTTTAAAGTGAGGATTACAAAGTGAGGACTACGCGAGGAGTAAATGAAATACTGTTGTTCAACCTCCTACGTGAGGCCCACTCCAAAGTAAATATTCAGTTATTGTCACTTTTTTTTTAATTTAATTTTTTGAAAAGCAATTTCTGTATGATTGCTAGTTGTCGGCCTTAAGTAGTATACTTGCTTTTTTTTCTTAAGTGGTCACATCTCTTATCATAACCGCTGGCCTTTTACTGTTTTAAGTGTACACAATTGTTGAACACTAATGGCTTCTTTGTGGATGTGTGTAATGTCCTGAGGCACTGATTAACACTTTGATGGTACTCTTGGGCCTGAACACAAGTTGCATTATTCTTTGCCAGACTGAACCACCAGGCTCTACAGCAGAGCCCTCTGGTGGGCGGGGGAATTGATGCTGTGCTGACTCCCACACATCCCAACCTCCCCTCGGTGCCCCTGCCTCAGGACTCCATGAGGCCCAGACAACCGCAAGTTCGACAGCATCAGAGACTTCTCCAGGTACGGGGCAGGGCGGTGAGGGCAATGTCGTCTCTTCCATCAGTGCAATTGCACAGCTGCCATAATGAAAGACTCCTCAGATTTAATCACTAGGTCCAAGGGAGCCCTTTGTATTTGACACTAGAAGCTAAGCTAGTGCAGTATAGTTCCGACTAGGCAGGAGTTTTCCTTTCACAGCATCTGCCAGGTCACAGGCAGGACGCTCCGCTTTGCAGAGCCCTCTTCCCCCTTCACAAAGCTTAGAAGGGCACATGGGCAACTTACTGTAAAGGTGAGCCTCAGCTTGCCTAGACCAAGGGCCCACAATTTGAATGCAAAATTTCAGTACATGAGGGAGAGATACACAAGAAAAAGCGAAAAACTGCACTTCCATCCATTACCAGAGCTTTTGTCCATTTCCTAGATGTCTATAATATTAAAATATTTCTGTAACACCTCTGCTCTGATTAAGCTATGAAATTGGAAGAACAGAAATTGAATAATTTAAAAGGCTTCTGTGTTAGAATCCAAAAAGCTAGCATTTGCTTCTTTGATATAAATTCTTGAGACCTTTATATAAGCAGTTCTTCCCCTTGACACATTCTTGCTTCTGGTTTCCTTGTCCTAGTACCATGTGGGATGAGGGATATAGTTCATTGGTAGTGGCCCTGCCTGGCATACACAGGTTGTGGGTTCAATCTCCAGCCCTGGGAAGGAAGGAGAGAAGGAAGGGTTACTATGCTTATGCCGTTTGTCTCTGTTATTAGCAAGTGAAATTTATATTGTGATTAGCAAACTTGGATCATGTTCTTGGGCTGGAGATTTCCTGGTAATACTGTTCAGAGGGCTGTCACCACCAATCCAAACTGAGATGCAATCTTGTTTTATATACTGCAAAGAAAGAGGCTAGGGTAGGGAGATTGTGGAGTCTAGTGGACCAGGCAGGGCATGAAGGGAAGGACCAACTATGCTCTACCCAAGGTCAGTAGGAAAGAGGGATGCCATGTAAAAGGAACACAAAGAAATTTGTGTCTCAACCTTGACGCTGGATGGAAAGAAGGGAAAATATCTCCCCTAAAAACTAAACCATAGCTGCAGGGGGTTGAGGTCTGAATCCAGTATGATCTTCAAAGTCCTGGTTGATAGTATCAAAAGGTGGCAACAGAAACCAAGTGCTCTTTAAAACTGTGCACCACAGTGATAAGGTGCCACTATTTGCATCCCCATTTTTGAAAAAAAAATTTAACTTGCAAAACATTGATAATACATGCTAATTAGTTGGGGTGAGTGTGGCCTACCAATGCCCAGCGCCATTCATTGTATAAATGTCACCTCCACGATACTAAAAACCATCTACTCTTCAGTTTTATCATCAATAAAATAGAAAGGATTATAGTACTTACTTTTAAGAGTATAGCAAGACTCAATAAAATTCAAGTAAAGCACTAGTTTGGTAATGCTACTTCTAATATTTTCACTAATACAACTATGAACATTCAGAGTGATATTTTCTTAAATCATCTTTTCTGTTCTGGGGATTTGTTTGAAGGTTTTTTTTAGGACTGATATTTTTATTTCTCCATGTTTTAAAAGTTATTTCCAGATCAATAAGGAAATGGACTGAATTGTTTACTATTACCATCTGCCTTTCTTGGACATTTCAAAGCTACAAATGCAGAAGCCCTTTCCTGATTGCATAATATATGAGCTTTTTATCCCCATCAGCACATATCCTTCTGCTAATTTCTTGCCAACAATGTATCACCTGCAAATAAAGAGTAATGATTTGTTCCTGTATCTGAATTTCACTGACTCCTTTTTTTGATGACTGGTCAGTGGCATAAAGGAAAAAGTTAGCCATTATGAAGTCAAACTTACCTTTCTTGGAAGATTTTGTGGAAAACCAGGTGGATGTTGGCTTCTTGTTACAGTGTTGTGCTTCTGGTTCAGCCTACGCTGTACGTGTTGAGAGTCATCCTTCTGGGCCTTTGCTGGGTGTCCATAGCTATGAGTATCACACTTAGTGAGAAATACTACCTGAAAAGAGCTATTTATTACTTTAAATTAAAAAGTCAGGTAATTTGGGGACTAGAATACAGACTAAGAAGGAAAAATGCAAGTGATGAAAATAATGAGGGGTGATTAGCAAGGTAAAGTGTCTGGATGGAGTCAGATGACTAAAGATGACCGAGAGGACGTATTTGAATTTTTGTCTGCTCACCTGTTGCAAAACATTCTGTATTTCTTCTGTGACTTAGAAGTATTTTCAAGAGCTGTGTTTTTCATCTGACTTTATGCTGACACAATTTGGAGTTTCAGGCTGGTCATTTATACCAGAATCCTCAGGGGCTAATATATGTTTTCCTACAAAAAGTTGAATCTTCAGGGGTCCCTCAAGTATCGTAGGGAAAGTAACTGCTGAGGGGACCTGGCAGCATGAGATAAGTCATCTGCATGTGCAAGGACAAAGCACATAAAAGACACCAAAGCAGTGAATGGAAAGCATCCCTGGACAGTGAGCACTGACTGCTGAAGGAAGAGACCTTGGGTTTGTGGTAATCTGAGGAGACCTGAAAGACAGGCTTTTATCTTACCCTTGAAGGAAAAGTGAGGTTTGGCAAGGTAAAGACAGGAGATGCAAGAACACAATCAGGCTTCACACAGTGGCATTTCTGTCAGGGATTGTGTGTATGACAGTGATCCCTTCAGAATTAGGGCAGCTGAAAAACGCTTTTCACCTTGTGACATCATAGCCTTCATTATTACCATAGCAGAGTACAAATGTGTGTATGATAATGCTTGTGCAACAAACCCATAGGAAAAGCACCACAATAGTTATACAAGGTACATAATTCTAGGCATGGTCATAAACTCCCTTATTTCCTGTAATATACTCTTAATGGTTATTGTAGGATATCCTCCTATTCATTAGTATAACTTTTCATGCATTGGAGAGGACACTCAGGGGTAGAGCATTGCCTAGTATGCATGAGGCCCTGGGTTGGATTGCCAACACAATGCAGGGAAAGTTTATATCCAAATAGTGTGTACAGTCAGCAGCTATCTTAGGCATCTTGTGTTTGGTATGCTCTGGATTGTATCATTTATCTTGTGCTTAATTCAATCTCATTTTCTTTATCATGGCCCTAGAAGTAACAGGCTATACAGGATATGTCATGTAGCCTAGGTATGTGGCAGACTATGTCCTCCAAGGTTTTCTAAGTGTATAATGCAATGTCCAAACAATGCCAGAATCACCTAATGACACATTTTTGTGAATTCATCCCCATCATTTTGTTACAGCACAATGAAGTGTTTTGATAATGATATTCAGATATACATCAGCCCCATACTTTTAAGGGTATAAACGTTTTCTTTCTTTCCAGATGCAGCAGCCCCAGCCCCAGCCCCAGCAGTCCTCACAGCCCCAGAATCAGGCCCTTGGTCTCCAAGCAATGCAGCCCCAGCAGCCTTTGGTAAGGCCTGATGGTTTGGAACCAGATATGTGGGCTTCTTTGTTAAAGCAAGTGCAGTCTTCACACCTGTTCCGTTATAGAGAATAAAATAGTCTAAATACACTGACCAGCTTTCATTGAACTATGTCAGGGCTCCGTTTTCTGTTGTAGAAGTCAGTATATTTGTTTCCATAAAAAGTACAGTTAATATACACTATTAAAAAATTAATGTACAATGAATTTTTGTGCTTTAGTAAATAATAATCATTTTTATTTTGGAAAAAAGTTAGAGCCTTCCATGAACTAAAACCTTATGCGTGAAATATTAAAAGATTTTCCTGTAAGCAATGTTAGAATGATGTTGTATATATGTTAAAATTATGTTACTTGGACTTTTACAACAACCTCAAACAACATGAGAGTAGTTTCTAAAATGCAATTGTAATGATTAAAAAATTGTTTTCCTCCAGTTAGCATCTTCTGAGAGAATTTCCGTTGCTCATAATCTACATTTCATTTCTCCAACTTTGCAAATTTAGTTTGGAAACAGCTGTGCATGGTGCCACATGCCCTTAATCCCAGCAGAGGCAGCCTGGGCTAGCCTGGTCTACATAGTGAGTTCTGGGCCAGCTGGGGTTATTGGGAGATCTTGTCTTTAAAAAAACAAACAAACAAAAAAGCCCAAAAAACAAAAATAAAAACAAAACCCAAAAATAAAAAATTCAAAACATATACATATACATTATATCAAAGTTTTATAAACCACAGTAGTTCTCAGTGGCATGTTCTTTGCGAGTTCTACCTGAGACTTATGGTTTGCTGCATGCGTCAGCACTGGAAGGCACTGGTGCTGATAGTGGTCAGCACAAATTTTGGAAAACAGCTTCATAACTTCATAGTGAAGACAGTAGCATGGTAACTTTATAGTACATTAGAAAGGGTTGACAGAGTTTCTTGGTTCAAGCCTGGGCCCTAGCAGGATGATGATGCAACATGGTCAGCCAAGTTGGACATCCCCTAGTATGCTGAGCTGGCCCTGGCCAATTCAAGCTTCAGTTTGTAATTTGGATTTTTTGTTTGTTTGTTATTTTTGTTTTTGTTTTTCTAAGCCAAGGATCATATTTTTCTAGCTCTGATTCCTTTTTAAAAAATGTATTTGCGACAATTGTTGAAATCCACTTTAAAAATATTTTTAAAGTGGAGTCAGTATGTAACCTAGTTGGTTGTCATCAGATGCATAAAGCTAGATAGAGCTAATTTTTAGAAATGTTGAAAAAGGCTCTTTTGATGGAATACTGAAAGCGGACTGAATGTTTCACCCCCCAAAAAATTGTGATTTGTTTTTATAAATTTTTAAAATTTTTATATTTTTATGCTGGTATGCGTTTAAGTGCACTTGAGTCATGCAGTGCCCACAGAGGCCAGAAGAGGGCATTGGATCCCCTGGAACTGGAGTCAAGGATGAATGTTAGCCACCATGTGGGTGCTGGGAAATGAACACAGGTCCTCAGTGACAACCAGTGCTTTTAACCCCTGAGCCATCTCTCCAGTCCCTGTAACTTGTTTTTGAAATAATTCAAACCCACAGAAACGTTGCAAGAGTAGTACAAGGAATTGTCCTGAACGCTTTACCCCGATTCGCTAGTTAACACTCTGTCACATTTGCTTTATTTCTCCTGTCTCCTCCTGTCACTCCGTCTTGGGATTTTCCTGATGTGTGCATATGAATATGAATAAGTTATAGCTGTGCTCTTTGCTGCTAAATATTTCATTTTTTCCCCCCAAGAGCAAGCTAGGTGGAGATGTAGCTCAGCTGGTAGAGTACTTGTCTAGTATGTATGAGATCCTGGCTTTAATTCGCAGCACTTCAAAAAACATTCACAAGTACAGATACCTTTGACTATTACTGCTGACATCAGGATGTTTAACTCTGATGGCGATACTGTAATGTATAAATACTCTTTGCAGGTGTCAGGGACACTTACAGTATCCTTTACTGCATTGTTTTCACCTGGTTCTTGTTTATCTCACTCTGTATTTAACTTTCACATCTCCTTTTCTCATCTGTGATCTGGAAAAACTTCAGAGCTCCCTCCACTTTTGTCTTCATGACAGTATTTTAGCTGTAGTGGAGTATTTGTTTATGTATTTTGTGATATGTTATTCAGTTTGATTTAGCTGCTTAATCGTGATGACAATCAATTTATGTATTAAGCGGTACTGTGCTAGCCCCTCTCAGTGTATCACACCAAAATATTCTTAATCCCTGTGTAAGTATGTCTGATAATTTTCTACCATAATTTATTAACTGTTCTTCTGTACTAAATAAATAATTTATGGGAATAGCTTCATCCCGTCTGTCTTATTACTCATTCAAACTTCACCTACCACTGTTAACACTGGTTAAGTGACTTTTGTAAGTCAGTCTCTACTATGGAAGTAGAAAACGATGGCTCTCAAATGCTGTTATTTGGGGTTTCACTACCTGGTTATTCTACTTGAAGGAAGAACGTCCTCTTTCTCATTTGTCTGTCTGTCTCTAAGTTAGGCACTTTATAAAGTGAGAATTTATTTTAAAAACTTTATTTTGATTTTTAATTATACATACATATGTGTGTATGTGAGAATGTGGGTTTGTGCATGTGAGTTCAGTGCCTCCAGAGACCAGAATGTGTCAAATCCTGGAGCTGGAGTTATAGGCAGTTGTGAGCCACCTGACATGTGTGCTGGGAACTGAACTCAGATCCTTTGCAGCCCCATTAAGTAAGCTTTAGAAATGAAATCTAACATTTGATCCTTTAATTTTAAGCTTTTCAGCTACTGGAATAGTTTAAATTTGTCTTCCAACTTTACTCAGTATTTGCTGTTGCATAGCATCAGTTAGATTAAATTCGATGATTTAAAAATTATCAGAATCTGGGGCTGGAGAGATGGCTCAGTGATTAAGAGCACTGGCTGCTCTTGCAGAGGACCCAGGTTCAATTCCCAGCATCCACATGGTGGCTAACAACCATCTGGTCCGTAACTCCAGCTCCAGGGGATCCAACACCCTCTTCTGACCTCCATGAGCATCGCATGACATGGTGTACCCACTTACATGCAGGCAGTACACTCATACACATAAAAAATTAAAAATAAATTACTAAATCTTTCCTAAGACTGAGGATGTAGGCTCAGTGGTAGTGCACATTCCAAGCATGTGTAAGGCCAAAACTACAAAAAAAGTCTTTATCCACTGACTAGGTTATTATATTAGACAAAAAAGTCTTTATCCACTGACTAGGCTATCATATTAGACAAAAAAGTCTTTATCCACTGACTAGGTTATCATATTAGACAAAAACATCTTTATCCACTGACTAGGTTATCATATTAGACAAAAACGTCTTTATCCACTGACTAGGTTATCATATTAGACAATACAAAACTTAGCAATAGTCCCAGAGTTTGCTTTCTGTATATAATGTACTCTGACAGTGTTTTAACAGAAAGCCAAAGAATAATGTTTTTACAAATAAGGTCATATCTAGTGTTTGAAATTCCTGATGCTTAGTGAGCATACCTTAATATTTTTCTTCCTAACATAAAACAAAGACTTCTCATGCCATGATGCTCTCGTTACCAGCATTGTTATGTGAAGTACTAAAGAAAATAACATCACATAATCACACCTGTCCAGTGATGTGATTCATAAATGAACCTTTGATTAGTAATTATAAGGAACCAACTAGTTTGAGAATGAGAACTTTGTATGGCTAGCAGTCCTGAAGAAGGAAACTGTTGTATGATATCACTTTAACAAGAAAACAAACTTTAAATTTAGGACAACTTCAGTTACTATTGAATATATGATTAAATTATAGTCTATATTTTTAACTTTCCAAACTTTTGATTCAGATATGTAGTTAAGTGAAATGTATATATTATGTGCCTCACAAATAATAAAATTTCTATATTTCAACTATCTAAGTGTATTTAAATTTAATCTGTATATTTTTTCCTATCTTGAAAGTTTATACATTCAGTCACACACATATATAACTGCCATCCTAAAACTGTATCAGTGTTAACTTTGAGAAGTAGTGGCTTATGGAGCTGAGGAGATGGCTCATTTGGCAAAGTGCTTACCATATAAGCATGAGAAACTGAGTTCTGACCCCCAGAACCCATGCAAAAAGCCAGGCGTAGCAGTGGGTGCCTGTAACTCCAGTGTTGGAGAGATGGAGATAGGGGGGTTGCTGGAATTCCCTGACCAGACAGCATATAGCCAAAGTGGTGGGCTCTAGGTTCAGTGAGGGACCTGTACAAACATAGAAGGTGGAGAACATTTGAAGAAGATACCCTGTGTTGACTTCTGCCTTCCACAAACATGTCCACACATGCATGCACCCCTGCAGAAACTCAGGCACACACACAAACATATGAAGACCCCCCCCCAATACATACTGGTTGACTTTCTAAGTATATGTCCTTATAAAATAGTTAATATCAAAAACAGCCACAATGAACCTTGTTTCTACATCTGTAATTAAGTAAACTGACTCTGTCCTATTAGCTTTTGTTGTTGTTATCCAGACTCTTCTCAAGTCTTATTTTAGTTGATTTATGGTATGATATATGGGGAATATGGAAATATTTATTAAAGGCATAACACTAGTTCTGTTTGTAGTATGATGCTTCTTAACCCCTGATGGATGTCAGTACCAAGTGCCTTAAATGTAGTATTTGTATTTGTGTAGAGTAAACAAAGAAATTTAATTATGTTACAAAGCCTTATTTACAAGTTTGGGATAGAAACTGTCTTTAAACTTCCCAGTTGTTTAAAGCAGGGACAGACTTGTGCAGAGTCAGTGACGATTCTACCCTTGACTCCGTAACAGCAGAATTTGAGAGGACTTGAGGAGTATCTGACCAAAGGGAACTTTGGTAGTAGTAGTTGTTCTGTAACTATTTGATCCAGTTTTTGCAAGTAAAAAATACACGTATTTGGGCCAAGTATGGTGGTGCATGCCTTTAATCCA